CCCCAAAACCCCAAAACCCCAAAACCCCAAAACCCCATTTTAAAATATTTAAATTTAAATCAAACTCCATGAATAATACTATAAGTCCACTGATCACTTATATGAAGGATATAGGAATCCTAAGTAGACACCAGGTGAAAGAATTTATCCTCCTGCTTAAAAAGATGCTTACCTCTGATATTAAAAGGAAGCGGAAAGCTAATATTGTTGAGACTTCCATCCAATGTTTGTCAGACTTCCTCTCAATGCAATCTCCTGAGCAATGATACGACTTAGCTGCACGAGTAATTTTGAAATGGGATCACAAAAAGTTAGATCCTTTAAAATAGACTTCTTCATAAACGTGAAGAAAAGGATAAATTTTTCAAATTTACCTCTTTCTCTAAATGGAAATCAACGTAATAGTTGCCTTATATTTTTAGCCAGCATTCTGACCTTATAAAGCACCTATATCAAAGAATAGACGAACAGGAAGATCTTATAGAACGGCTGCAAGCTAGACAAGGAAGTTGTTATCAAGATTACCCAGATTATCCAGACTATCCAGATTGCCAAGAGATTAGTAAAGAAGATCGAGAGGAGAGATCTAGCTTCCAGAAATATTTGGCATCAAGGGTTGAGAATAGCAATGAGTCTCAAAAGAGATTTTGGTAAGTTCCATTAAAACATTAAAAGGGATTGTCATTAGATCTTTGAAAAATTAAAGATTTTGGATCGTCTTTTATTAAGTATTGATATCTTGAATTGATAAAGAAGCATTGCTTAAGTTCAAATAAATATGAAAATAATCAGTAATTTGGATAAAAATCATATCAAATCCTCTAAATAAATTCTACACAACAATTTTTTTACTTTGAAGAACTTAGAATCCCCCTTAACTCAAAAATTCAATTGCTTTGTCATTTTTGCGAACCTATGCTCCTTTTCTATTTAAATTTCTTAAAACATTCAATAAATACATTATCAGGAGGCAAGCTCATACCATCGAACACCGGCATCCCGATACAGCTTCAGACATTTAGGAGAAAGAGTTGTTCCTAAAATCAGTTTTGATGGTAAAAGGTATTCTAGCAGAGGTTTACAGTTCTTTCGACAAGCTGATGGCTACAAAAGACTCAAGAACAAGAAACATATAGATAGACTTTATAATAATGGTAAACTAGACATTTGCTAGCAGGTTCTAAGATTCCTCATAGGCAAGCAAAGACAACTAGCTCGATCAAAATCAGCGCTTATGACAAACCATGAGGCTAAAGAATTCAGAGAGTGTACTTTCCAACCAAAGATTAAGCACCAATATGATGATAAACTTGACTGATATCATGAAGATGAGGAGATGCTTGTACAAAGATTGACTGAACCTCCAAAACGTGAAAGGGCTAAGCTAAATAAATATAAGAGAGAAGCAGACGAGCATAAATAAATGTACATTTACTCCAAGAATTAAAAGGACCAGTTCCCAAGCCAAAGGAAGGTCAAGATCTGTATTCGATAGTCTGTATTCAGAGAAGAAGAGGAGGGATATTTCTAGGAGAAATAAAGAAATTCACTTCAGAGAACGTCTACTAGAAGAAGCCACTTTTATTCCACATGTCAATAAAAATAACATAAAGGGAAGCCATCCAAAAGGTGACATTATTAAGAATACTTCCCCCAATCTTCATAGTTTTGATCAAAGACTAGCTAAAGATCTTTCTAAAAGAAAGGAAAGTCTTCATAAAAATTCAATCTACAAAAGCCAGAAAGAACTTAGAGACTGAACCTTCACGCCGAAATTAATATCGACCTCAATTCCTCGCCTTCCAGACTCTGAAGACTCAGATCAAGACCTAGACATCCACACTCGTCTATACAAACAACATGCTGCTCTTGAATCTAAAAAGACTAAACTTGCGAAGGAATACGATTCTGAGATCCTTCAAGCAACCCCTCACACCAACGCTGGCAGCTACTTGCGAAGACTCAAGAGAGTATATTCTTCAGAGATAAGTAAGACTCTCTGCCTACTTTAGGCCCTTTCAAGTTGTAACCTTATATAGGCCCGAACAAGTCAATGAGAGCCAGTAGAGCCATGATGAACACCATGCCTATAATAGATATCAAGATTAAGAAAACAGGCAAGAAAGAACAGAGGAAGGAAGTAGAAGAGAAAAAGGATTAATTAATCTCAAAGAAATAGTGTGGTACATAGGGGTGCAGGCTACATAATCAGAGGGAGAAGTTAAGACAGAATTAGAGCAATTTTCAATTAAAAAAATGCTTCAAGGGGTTTTGGGGTTTTGGGGTTTTGGGGTTTTGGG